CTCTCCAAGCCATCCTCGGCAGCGCGTTTCACTTGCGTCGGGATCTCCAACGGTGCCGATTTATCTATGGCGGCTGACGTAGCGGTCTCGCCATTGAGATACGCCAGCAAGTCTTTTCTATCAGGTCGACGCACCACAGGAATGTTTTCTGCGGCCGCTTGTCGCACATATACTGGATGTGTGAGTTGAACATGTTTGAGCAGGAATAAAAGACACTCGAGGGTATAATATTCTTTAGGCGTGCCTTCCTTTCCGGATCTAAAAAAAGGAAGAAATGTTAGTGTCTCTTGAACCGAAGATTGGGCAATATATACAAAATAAATTTTCATTATTAATGCTTCTCTCCGCTTAATGTATCTCTCTGTATTCCTTTAAATAAAATATAAATATATAACCTCGCTTTTGATATAACTTTTTCTATAAATATATGTTCAAGTCTCAATTGTAGACATGCATCAGAAGCTAAAATGTTAACATGTATTAATAACTTAATAATAATCTAGTTTTCATTATAAATTAAAGAGAGAGCAGACGTAAAGAAATAGAAATCTTGTACTTTAATTTTAGAATGATTGCGGATTGGTCTCGCAATGAAGACTTGCAATAAGGTAAAAGAAAAATTCAAGTTAGATACACTTTACAATAAGAATTAATTAATTTATATTAAGAATTATCTTAAAATTATGAAAAAGAGAACTAAAACTTGATCCAAAAAATATAGAAAACAACAATGAAAAAAATACAAATTCTATATATAGGGATTTTTAAAGTTCTATATCTCAAGATTCAAATTTTGAGAGAAAACGCTTTGGAGACAAAAAATTGCAAATGCTTTAAAATATACGTTCGCGTTTCTAATATAACTTCTGTCTTTCACCCACACTTTGTAACGATATTAATATCAAATTGCATTTGTTTATCATTTCAGGGTCTATCATATCAGGTTCGCTCTTTCTCTTTCCGTCCACCCTCATTTCCTCTCTTATCCTTCCTTTAAAGATGGAAGTCGAGCACACAGATTGCAATCACGCGACAAACAATTTCGACATTAATCGGACAAATACTCACCCGTAGGTCAGATAATTGGTCTTGACGTTCTTTGGCCAGGAAAACTCGCCGAATATGATCTGATTTTCGCGTTCGATTATCTCCTTCTTATTGACATTGTACTGCCTCAGCAGACTCAACGGATCCGCCATGATCGCGAACTGATCTGATGAATCTCGACACTTTGCGGTTGCAGCCGCAAGAGAGCGTTCTTCGAACGTAAAGGCGCATTCGCACGACGAGCGTCTATCGAGATCGCGCTGTCACGTTTCGTGTGTGCGTTTCGGAACGACGGTCACATTTCGGGTCATATGACCGACGTTACGCGAGAATTGACGTGCCGTCATAGGCGTTGACTTTACTTCTCTTGAACGTGATTCTCGATCGTGTAGCTGTCGACGAATTTCTTTTAACGACTCTTCGAGGAGAAAACACATCGATTCACCATGGCACTCAGCGACGCGGATGTTCAGAAGCAGGTTAATAAAGAAATCCCCGCTATTCTTTCTCGATTCTGTCTCTCTAAAGTGCTTGTAGAGAGTATCATATATATTCTCGTGCTCTATTAATATCTTTACGATTATTTATTATTGTGCTACGCTATATTGTTTTTCGTTAAATATGTATCTCGACGTTTTTCGATATACCTATGCTGCACGTTACATAGGTATTCGGTTTCATAACTTTTGAGATTATATCTTGTATAAATCAGGAACAGAAAGTCGAATAAGCTTGTGTAGCTTTTAGAGAAAAATCGGATCAATAAATGATCTTTTGTAAAACTTTGACAGCAGCTGACGTTTTGTCGAAAAAAATGTCTTGTTTAAATGTCCCTAAAATTTTTGGATACTTATTTTTATATAACAATCAAACAGGAGTAAAACTTTTGACTACATATGATTTAAAGAATATATTATTATCTAATCTATTATATACATATTTTAAAAAAAAGATTAGATATTAAAATCTCTTGAAAAGATTTGAAAACATTAAATTTTGTATATTATAACAAATCTTTAAAGAAAAAATGATATATTACAGATCAAGCATATGATGGCTTTCATAGAACAAGAAGCCAATGAAAAGGCAGAAGAAATAGATGCCAAAGCAGAAGAAGAATTTAATATTGAGAAGGGACGTCTGGTGCAACAGCAGCGTCTTAAGATCATGGAATATTATGAGAAAAAAGAAAAACAAGTTGAACTTCAAAAAAAGATGTATGCATAAAGAAATATTACACTTTATTATATATAAAAATCAATTTATATTAAATTAATCTATATATAATTTTAAGAAATTGAAAAAAATTTGAATTTTTATCAATTTTCTAAAAAATTGTCAAAATTATAAAGTGGTCTCTAATATATGCCTGTACTGTTATATTCATATTTTTATTCTTATAGACAATCTTCAAACATGCTCAACCAAGCCCGATTGAAAGCTCTAAAAGTGCGTGAAGATCATGTAGGCAATGTTCTTGACGATGCTAGAAAGAGATTAGGCGAAATAACTCATAACACTGCGCAATATAGGGAAATTCTTCAGATGTTAATCATCCAAGGCCTTTATCAAGTAATATTTCTATAATTTTAAATATTTGTTCTACTGTTAAAATTTTTATAATTTCGTATTTATAAATATTGAAAGAGCAAGTTTATTAAAATTTTTTATTATCTCCAAGATATAATGTATATTTGCAGCTAACAGAATTAAACGTTACCCTTCGTGTTCGTCAAGTCGACATACCTCTCGTGGAATCTCTTTTTGACACTGTTCAGCAAGAGTATAAGGAGAAGACTAAGAAGGATGTTATCTTGAAAATTGATACCGATAATTTCTTACCCAATCAAGGCTGTGGAGGTGTAGAGTTATTAGCATCCAGAGGTAATTACATTCAAAAGTTTTTGTTGCATTAATCATAAAGTTATTAATCACTGCAAAAATAATGCAAAAAATATTTGTAATGTGTTATATAAATTTACACACAGTAATTTTTGCTTAATTATTGGTTTAGAACATGTGATTTTAGTAAAATAATTATATATTTGGCATTATTGTATATTTTACGTTAATTAATCAACATATATTAATATGTGAAATAATCTTTAATCGTTTTGCAGGACGCATAAAGATTAGCAATACTCTGGAAAGCAGATTGGAGCTGATAGCGCAACAGTTGGTACCCGAAATCCGTTCCGCTCTGTTCGGTTCCAATCCTAATCGTAAATTTAACGATTAAATTATTTCCTTCGACAGTTACTTGAAACTCTCCAAAACATTCCCATTTAACAGCAGATTGTTATCACATTATCAAATATTGTGTAGAATAAAATTAGTACAATATCTCTAACGAAATTCTTTGTTTGATATTTTCGATGAAAGTATTTAATGGATTAATGTGCAATATTTATCATTGTAATAGTCGTAAACTGTACATTACTCTTCGAAGACGACCTTTTCTTTTTTCATCTTACCTATTCTTTACTCTAACAGGTAATCGTGAAACGCGTAAAATGTGTATAGCGATATATCAAATATTTCATTGTTAAGATATATCAATTATTAAAATTACCTGTTAAAAATTGGTGTTCATAAATAAAACAAAGTGTACTTTGTCAGTTTTCAGTCGGTTAGGAATGTTAACGCGAGCGAGATATATATTAATGGTAATAATCGATGTTTCTGGCTGCTTATGTTAAAATGAATAGCGATTGCAAGAAGAATGTAATACAGTCGGTATATTATGCAGTATCATACAATATATAGAATGTGCTTTATATGTATATAAATATGATACACATTTATATACATATAGAACATATCAGTATGTTATCATGTACATTATGTATAAATATAATAATGTATTAATTATGAGTAAATTATTCACTGTTAATGTATTAGAGTACCTTTGAAGAGTAGTTCTACAAGAGTATAATGTGACGCAACATCGTATTGGTATGTATTTTAAGCTTATGGCATATAGCAAATAATTATACATAAATATATGTGTATATAATTATTCAATATTTTTGTTTGCTGCAATACTGTATGTTCGTTGAATGTTATATATTCTTAAACCTACACTCATTATATACTCTTGCAAAACTAGTAGGTACTATGTTTCGTATTATACATATGGACAATATATCGCAGCATGCACGAATAAATAAAAATATCTTGAAATCTGCTTGGCAGTTACTGTTGATAATTTAAACGCAGTTTGATATTTATCTGAAAAGTCGATTTATATCCTTTGTTCTACTAGATTGAGACTTGTATATTTTTGCAATTGATATGATTTACTTGTATAATTAAATATTAATAAGATAATATGATATATAGTACAATTAACGACTGCAAGTAAGAAAATTATATAAGAGATTCGCTAAATTGTATAAAAGATTTGGTATGGTTTTATTACATATTATGTAGAGATATGAAGATCGATGCATGCTTCTCCTTCGAGATCTAATAATTCCGGAGTATCAATTGGCCTTATCTGTTCTCCATCGAAATAAAACTTCAAGTTACTCTCTTTTATACCAAGTTTCTCGGCACAATTAGAGAATAACGCCTTAAATTGTTGATCCTTTTTAAGCGGAATAGTCAACGATTGCTTTTTGTTGGCCGTTTGTACTTTAATAGTACATATATCGTCGTTGTTGTCGTCGTTATTTTTATCCTCTGACAATGTATTCATACTTGGGTGCACTATCCCACCATCTGCACATAAATGCAAAATGATCATTATATTGTTGTTATTATTATTATTGTTATTGTAAAATCGACAACTCGTTTATACCAAGTATATCTATAACTGAAAGTTTGAGCGATGCTGGAGTATCAGTACGATTAACGATTTTATCCTTTTTCATGATTAGAATTTCATTCACAGAAACTTTTTCTAAATCAGCATAATATTGAAAAACTCCTTGGAAATTGTCATGCTATAATAAGAAAATTTGATGGTTACACTTATGGAAAGATATCTATCAAATGATAAGCATGATAAGATGACATAAGAATATGTTACAAGCTGATAATCAACATACATACCCTATGCATACTTAAACGATCAATTCTGTTTGACCTCCAAAACACTTTAATATTCATTTCATAATTGTCATCTTTGATGGAAACCTCATCATCTGACAGTGCAATTACATCATTATTACAGATTTCAGGGATTGATTTAGGCTTCTCTTCCAGCGAAACGATTTCCACGTCATATTCTAGATTATCAACTGGCGGATGCTGAAATATATTGATATACCAAATATAAAAATCACATATATACTCCTTATGTATTAAACGTTTTGATATATTTTACATATGATATAAATATATTCATTTTGGAAAAAGTATAAGTTAAATTTTGAAAGATATACTTATGCCAATAATTATCAAAAATTTGAAAACTGAAAAAATAAATAGTACATTATATAAATATGAAAAAAATATTACCCTTCCCCTAGTTTGCCTAACAGTAGCACGAGTAGTAATACCTTTATTTCTTTTACTTCTTACCATCCTCCTTTGTATTCTTTGTATTTGTATATCATCACCGTTTGTTTCTTTACCATTTATTTCTTTGCCAGTTTCTTCTTCACCATTTTCTTGCCGTTTAATGCTAAAATACAACAAATAATTATAAATATTTTTCATACAATATTAAAATTGCAATATATGTTCTGAATATCATATTAGCTAACAATAAGTACAATATTTCAAATAATGAATTTTCACAATTTTTGTAAATACATACTCGATGGAAAAATTCTCTATCTCTCCAGAAAGTTTCTCTCGTTTTTCTTTTAATGCTGAAAACAGAAATATTATATTGCATAAAAATTATGTATATATCCTAATATACTCAAAATATTACATACAAATACCTTAACTTCAATATAATATTTCACATAGTTGTCTTTTGTAATCCCACAAGTACAAGATTCATAAATAAAAAGAAAATATTACCTTTTAAGCGACCAGCAAAATTTGCATATGGATCATCCTCATCCGAAGAGTTATCTGGTGTCATGTTATCCATTATGAATATTCATATAATTTAAGATATATAACTTCCTGAAAACTAAATAATTCAGATATAGAATAATGAAATATATATTCGCAGAAATCTCGAGATATTGTTATTAGTCAAATGTAACCTCTGTAAAATCAAATACTGTAAATATAAACATATGATTTCGAAAATTGAAAAGTATCAATTGTGTCAATTCCTTCCGTTATATTGAAATAATAAGATTAAAACAAATGTTTCAGTTTATCGCGAATATATAATACCTTCTATGATGAGATTTGCTGACAAATCTGCAGAGAATTCTAACTTGACATTAACCTAACTTAATATAACTTTGTCATAAGAGAAGTAGAAAGAGCTGGAAAAAAGTGCATCTTTCAATATTCTCGTCAAAAATTATCTTAAGAAATAATGCAAATTAAAATGGCGAACAAATTTCAAAAAGATAATTAATTTTGATTATACATTACAGAGGAAATATTATACAAGTAATATTACACGAAAAGAAAATAAAGAATAAATAATATTACACTCTTTCTTGTGCTAGATGTTTGTTTGCTTCTGGATTTTTACATGGATTAATTGCACTTGAATTATATCAAAAAATGAATACACTGGGAGATCGTGAAAATAAAATACACAAGGCAGAGAAAGAAGCGTAATTAAGCTTACATGCGCTATACGCATGCGCACTTTATGTCACATGATCGATGTCGACAGGCTTGTACTCTGATATTGTCCAGAATATAGCTGCGTTCGGCAGAAAAAGCGCTCCGTTATCGTCTTGTCAACACTCGGCGTTGATTTGTTGGTTGTAAAAGTAAGAGCCAATCACGTTCGATTGCTACTGAGCGATTTTCTCTGCTGAACGCGCCCAAATGCTTTGAAACCCTTATAAATTATTTATATCTTTTATTACTGTTGTATGTGTAACGCTTTAATTACATATACATATAAAGATATATTAAATAGAAACGGAATAATAAAATTTTATTATTTTTATTTATGAATTGTAATGTTTATTTATAATAGAAGATATATTATTTTTTTATTTTCTATTATTTTTTCATGAGGGGTCCAGCATTACCCCTTTTTGCAAAGAAATATCTACTCGGCTGAGTCCTAATAGCGTCTGCTAGTGTTTATAGTACTGCGCCGGCGCGAGCATCTATCAACTACCAATCTGGGATCTGGGATACAATACACACGTGCTGAGAAATGGCGGCTTACGACGAGAAGTGCGGAGACTGTTCGTTCGATTCTAGCGAGGATAAACAGAAGGGTGTTTGTCTTATAAAAAAAGAGTACGTAGATATACCGTGTGGCTTACATTAATTATTTAATTATCAGTGAATTTTATATGGATATAACTGCAAGTATTTATTCCTTTTTTAATCTGCAAAAATTGTGTCTATTATTATACATGATTCTCATTACATAGTTTAAAATTGTATTGGAATCTTCATTTAACTTTATTTAAATCTTTGTTATTTATATTAAAACCTTGAAGGATCTATAGTTTTCCTTTCCACAACTTCCTATTAAATGATATATTAATTAAAATATGGAATTTTCCTTTTCATATTAAATATATAAATCATATTTCTATATATTTTTATAAAAATTATTTGACATTTTGGACATTATTGCATTTGCACATTAATTTTTGCATGTAATTCACGATATCAGAGTGATGAGCAGCTATCTAATGGTTATTATATTATCTTTTATTTATTGTTATCTCATAATTGGCACATTTATGACATTGTAGGTTTATTATCGAGGATCACTTGAGACAGATAAACGAGCAACACTTGACAGAGACAGATAAAGAGAAAATATCTGTGAGTGCAAGCACAGAAGATGCAGATACACCATCGTTGGATGAAACACCTGTTAAAAAACTCAAACTAGATGACAAGAAAGAAAAGCTCAGAGGTCAAAATAAGGCCAGGCCAGTACCATTTAAAATTTCCAGAGAATTGCACCTGTGCCCTTGGGTTGCGGATCAAACAGCAGATGAGCCTGAAAAAAAATGTCTGAATCAACGTTGCACGTTTCTGCATGATCGGAAGGAGTATTTGAAAATCAAACCAAAAGACATCGCTGCAGAATGCCACCTTTTCAATTCAAACGGCAAGTGTCCAAGAGGAATCACGTGCAGAATGGGTTCACGACATTTGACCGAGGATGGCTTTAACATTATTGACGAAAAGAAATTCGAGGAATATACGAGTCGTCCACCAGCCATAAAAAATCACTTATCCAAGGATCTACAAAACAAATTGCGCAAACATAACTTTAATTTCTCCAAGGCGGAAGCGATCGTCAAAGTTAACGATCCATCTAAAAACAAGACACAACTATATAATTCAGATAATGAAACAGAGGACAAAATACAAATGAATAGTTTTAATCGTGATAATCCAAGTGATAGTGCAAAGGAATTGAAACTCGGACCTGTGGATGACAGCGATTTAATTAGATTACGACAGGCAGAGAAAAAGAGGATTGACTGGAATGACAAAATACTGCTGAGTCCTTTAACCACAGTGGGCAATCTGCCGTTTCGAAGGATTTGCAAAGAGTACGGGGCCGACATCACTTGTGGCGAGATGGCATTGGCACCGAAGATACTGAAGGCCGCGAAAGAAGAGTGGGCGTTGGTGAAGCGACATGAGAGCGAGGATATCTTCGGCGTGCAGCTTTGTGGTAATAATCCAGGAGTACTAACACGATGCGCTCAATTGTTGAATCAGGAGATCGACGTGGACTTCATCGATTTGAATCTCGGTTGTCCGATCGATCTGATTTACAGGAAGGGCGGCGGTAGTGGTATGCTTAATCGATTGCATGTACTCGAGAGCGTGGTAAAGTCTATTAGTCAAGTTTTGGACATACCATTGTCTATTAAAACCAGAACTGGAGTCTATATGGATAAACCGATCGCGCATAAGTTGATGCCGAGATTTCGAGACTGGGGTGCGTCTATGATTACTGTAAGTCTGTTGAATTTATGTTCCTTGTATCCTTGTTCTTGTATGTTCTTGTAAATCGTATTCTCGTCGCAGTATTTCCAAAAAGAATAGGACTTTTCAAAAGCAAAACAATTTCCTTCGAAAAATCCCTACAACATTAAAAGTTCAGTTGTGTATATGTTTTATATATTTTTATATCACACTATAGAGTAAAATATCCATATTAATCACATAATCACTTAGAAATATTAATAGAAATAAAAGAAATTATTACTCGCCTTGAAGGGGGTAAAAAAAACATCAGGTACATGTATCATACATGGTTTTTTTGAAAAACTCAAAGAATTGTTCTTTTTTTCAGCTTTTATTAATGTTCGGCGATTCTTCCAGGTTCACGGCAGGTCCCGTGAACAAAGATACACGAAACTGGCCGATTGGGAGTACATAGAGAAGTGCGCTGTGGCGGCGCAACCAATACCCGTGTTCGGAAATGGCGATATCCTGTCCTTCGACGACTATCAGCGAATGAAAAAGATCTGCGGTACGGTACAGGGCATCACTATCGGACGCGGAGCGTTGATTAAGCCGTGGATCTTCACCGAGATAAAGGAGAGAAGATTGATCGATATATCGAGCGCTGAGAGATTTGATATTCTCAAGAAGTATGCAAATTACGGGCTTGAACACTGGGGATCCGATACACGTGGCGTTGAAACCACCAGAAGATTCATGTTGGAATGGATCTCTTTTCTTCACAGGCAAGTTTGCTTTAAGAGGATAGTTTCTCTCAGCTGTTACAATATTTTTCAATTACATTCATTTACATTTTGAAACATGTTGCAGATATGTTCCTGTTGGAATTCTGGAGAGGCCGCCGCAAAGAATTAACGAAAGGCCGCCATTCTATAGAGGTCGCGATGATATGGAGACGTTGATGGCCAGTTCCAATTGTGCCGATTGGGTGAAGTTATCGTAAGGCTATTTTTCGAGATTATTAGCTTTTATTGAGACCAGTAAGCGTCAACTATAATCACGATATTAATAATTTCATTTATTTCTAGCGAGATGTTGCTCGGAAAAGTGCCTGATGGATTCCATTTCTTACCAAAGCATAAGGCAAATTCGTGGAAGTAAAATCTATTACAGAAAAAAATTATAGAGAAACATTTTCGAATCGAATAATGTTCTTGTACAATTTTTCGCAACAAACGAATTAGAGAAAGAAGGATCGATCACGGTGACATGTAATATTGAATGCGATATTTGTTATATTTCATTCACATATTTACTTTTATAATACAATAAATAAATATTTTTGAGAAAGGTTTTGTTTGCTGCGAATATATGCGAACGACGAGTCTTCGCTATACCTTTGCACTGTATAGCGAAAATTTAACTTTGCTAATATACGAATTTTCTATTGAATTAATAATGATCGCTTATCTCCCCCAAGGTAGTGACCGGCCACATACAGTCACAACCGCTAGCGATTTCCTTGGTGTAAGGTTCCCAACATTCGTCTTCCCAGCGACGTCTGACTAGAGATAGGATCCGACTTCTCTGTACGCAGTGAAATATCGGATTAACGCATTTCTGAAAAATAAAAAAAAATATTAAATCTTTTAGATTATAAAATTCAGTTAAATAAAAAACAAATTCTCTGTTAAATTTAACACGTTTTAGAGTTTTGAAATTATTTTATGATATTTATTAATTCTTTAAATTTTTATTTTAAGCCATATTTTCCGGTTGTTAAACTTGCGCTGTCTTGAGTTTATGCGTATTTACATCACTACGTCCAAGTTTACCTGTTGCGAAGACCTCGTCATCATTTGTTCATTGTTATCTAGCAATAAATAACTCTTACAGAAGACTTCGTGATAATGCGGCGGTTGATACTCATAATCGGGATCGGTAATTTCCACTCTTCTCGTTATTGTCTCGCAAAGATTGCGGTATTCCTATGTAAGCAAAAGAGGAGATTAATATAGATATTTATCTTATAATATGTGATGAAGAGATTTAAATTAGGAACGAACACGTAGAAAATAGACGAATTAAAAGGAATCACGTACAATTTTTGTAATTTAATTTCTAATCTTTCTTTTAGAATATCTGTCTTAATGTCTAATTCAATGTTTTTCTTAATGAAGAATGATTAATTTTCAGAATTAAGATATAATTCACTAACGGCAATCAAATTTCTGTTATCTCTCTCTAATTGCAGTTTGTTCACCCCATTTTCCGCGTTGTAATAAGAAACGTCTCTCGATGATATGTCACGTAGAGTGTTCTGGTAGTAAAGTTCAGAATCCAAACTCTCCTTAATCAGCTGAGTGAGATTCAACCGTCTACTCAGCACGTAGGACACGTGGTTAAGAATAAAGAATTCGGCAATCTGTAAGAGATATATAATACCTTTACAAATGAGTAGACAAAAAAATAGAAGAAACTCCAAAATCAAACTTTTTGACTATACTATTTCTTTTAGATAAACATTATACAAATAACATATTCTGATATTATGAAAAAAATAGCACATTGCATTCGATTATTCTTTTATCAATGATATAGAATTCGCTCTCAAGTATGGCATATTGCGTCATTGATAAAACCTAAACCTTCGATGGAGGTCTCAGTCAGTAGCCTTTAGTGATCCATCAAACTCGATGATGCGTAAATCGCGCGAGCGGAGAGTCCACTCCGCAAATGGGAATGGAGCTGGGATGAATCACTCGTTTATAGAGTACTGCAAACTGTCGAAATTGTTTCACGTTGTCTATCATAGATGAAACATGATAGGCGGCAATCTCCAATTTCTCCTGTCAATTCTTTTATTTCCCAGTTTTAATTTCCTTTGAAAAACATTATCCCAAATTTTATCTTTTAATATGTTGCAAAAAATAATTTCTTAAAGACATTTCTCAAAAACTGTTCTTTCGAAATTTCGATAGTATAAATATTTGTTTTTTTTTTTCCTCTAAAAAAAGAGGCAATTAAAGATTTTATGCGATGCAAATTTTATAATACAATTTCTATGAAATTTATAGATAATCATGATTTAAACTCGACGATATATTTAAGATGACACATGGCATAAGAATGAAGAAACGAGTTATCTTACTGCACGTAATAAATGCCATTAATAAGAACGTTCGGATTTATCAATAGAAACGGCTTTCTCGCGAAGATCGGTATTAGTTGGTTCGCAAGGTCGGCATGATTGAGCTGTGTGTGTCGTATGATACAAATTATTCTTCCCCGCGTCATCAAGTTAATTCACAATACCACCGAAGTGACGACAGAACATACGCACGAGATAATATGCGTTCTTCCAGCTGCGTGGTGTTTTTTTTTTTCGATTTCAAGCAACAGAGTCAATAAGCGCTATCAGAAGTGATGATAGATCAATGATTGACTTTCTTGAAAACGAGAAGTAAGGAGAAAAGTCACAGGACCTTTAAATTGAGTTTAAATCAAAAGCCTTTCTCATTCATCTTATATACGAAAGAAGAATTCAACCGAAACAATTAAAAAAGAATCATCAAGTTTCTGTTGTCAATAACAATTACCAAGAGATTTCAGAATATTTAAAATGAAACAAAACATTGGAAAAACGTTAGGTATAGAAAAAAATGATAACGTGATGCACTGTATATCTTGAAAGGGACATAGATATTTATGAAAAAGAAAAGAAAAAAAGATAAAATGATCGAGAAGGTGGGGGAGAACGTGGACACTATATGCTGCTGGCTTTCAGCATCAGTGATGTACGCTGCATTACATACACGCATCAACTGTGCCAATGTGGGGTAAGTAGTTATCCAATTGACAGTGCCCCCGTCTGACATACATAGTTCGGTCACGACGGCGGGAACAGGAGGATCCTACGTCTCCTCCGATGAATACATAGCCGACAGTGCGACAGCGAGAGTAGTTTCCTCGAAATTGCCATCGTGTTTCTTCGTTCTGTATCTTCGAAATCGCGTCGACGTCATCGCATGTGTCTCTGACGGAATTTTCACGTTACCTTATAATTGAAAGATAGTATATAAGAACCGACTGGTCGACTGGTCGTGTATTGTGACATAGAGATAATGTCGGGCCGATCAGCGTGTTTAGATGATGGGTGTTTTATCTGCGGTGAAATAAACTCGGACACAGTTGACGATTATCAGTGAGACGGACAATTTTGAAGATTTTGTTGAATACGTGGTCGTCGATTTTCGACGGAAGAAGAAGGGCACGAAAAGAGAGGAGACTTCAACGATTGACGAGATTCCAACTCGCGCATCCTGCGGAGTATCCACGATTGAGATGCCATTGGGCTGACACCCAATGCTATGGCAGCTGATCTTTACGCGAATGGCTCTGTGAAGTCAACGTCCGCCAGGTGAGATCAATCTTGGAAAATATAAACGACGTTATACGTATCGTAATTTTATAAAAATCTGTAAAAAAAATTAGAAGTTATTAATGACCCTTTCATTCTGAGTTTTAATTGTTCAAATATGAACTTCATTTTAGTGTGGTATGATCAGATGACATATACATTTAACACTATAAATTATCTATTTATAAATTACTTCACGAATAATTATATAAAACTAGAAAAAATTAAACAAATCACATAATGACATATTAGCAGATGTTGGTCAAAGAAAAGAATTTGGGAGGATTATTTTGACAGGTTTGAGAAAAATTGATGAGTAACGAACGAAGATTCATATTCTCAGAGTAAACGCGGCAATCCGCTTCTGAGTTTTATTTGCCTATCAAGATGGCATTCAATGTCAACGTGACATGAGAATAAAATAGCCACGTTAAACGCGGCCCCGTCCGATTCCAAGCTTTATTTGCCTAATATGACGACCGCTTTCAATGTCAACGTGATATAAAAATCAGAGACATAAGCGCACTCTCTAAAACAAAAAATATATATATAAACATTTATTATAATCCTCGCAAATATCAATCAAAATAATAAATAAATGTAAATAAAATGTAATAAAATTTGCAAAAACGCGCCTTTTGTGTTTTAATATAAAATTAATTCTAATAATTTATATTTAAGTATAATATATAAATATATATATATTCTACATCGTGTATTTAAAATTGATAAAATTTATAGCTTAGTTCGGAACGTTTCTGCGAAATATAAAAGAGATAAGACAATTTATGCAATAATATTCATGCAGTTTCTGTCAACAATAATTTTATGAAAAATATGATGATGCAGTAATTTTTTGTAATATACATATATAATGACATCTGATGACACATCGAATGCAATAATATAGCATCAAATAACTACTAATGTTATTTAGATTCACCGTTTCTTCAAATGTGTTTAATCTAATTTCTTAAATTGACATAAACGTGACTGTCAAATTGTTTGTTTCTCAAGTGTTTGAGACAAGTGCAAATAATACATATAATACGATTAGTGCAGATTTGCAATGTTAAGGATAGAACACTTTTGTTTTCTAAAATATACTAAAAAGGAATAAAATGTTTCATTATTTTTTCTGACTCGCGATTATTTTGGTTGAAATTGTAAAAGAAATTCATTCGAAACGACTCCAAGATCAGCTGGAAGCTTGAGCAATCGGAGATGCATCTGTTTCCGGATAAACGCGATGATCTTCATTTTTTGCAAACAATTTCAATGACAATGCTGAGTTAATAAGCAATTGACCCTCGGTTTGCTAACTGAGTAAAGGTTTCATTGATGAGGAACGTTATTAAGTGGACTCAAACGAGAGCGGAACTCTCGAAATTTTGATTCTTTGAAAATCTTAGCGATTTTATATGTAATCATTATAAGATCGTCTCATTGATTGCGTCTAGTAACATTTTCTTCGACAAGTACATCGTCAATATTATGAGAAACATCATTAAATGATTTTTGTAGTAATAAATAATCTATTTGGGATAAAAAAAGTGTATCATAAGTATAATTAATAAATGTCGCATAAATACAGAATATAATTTTCTATCAAATGTTAACCAAATTTTTAGGTCAGTTTTTCTCTCTCACTAAATATTAATTTAGTAAATATTAATTGCAGAGGCAAAGATAAATCAGTGTCACGTTTGCACAGAAGTGTGCACTTGAACAGAATAAATCTCGTATCACGCACTTGAATGCACAACAGAATCATCACACTACCGTTCAGTAAAGTCGAAGTTACTTAAATTAAAAATATTTGTGGAATATCGTATTTGAAGAACATAAATTCCTTTTTAAGAAATGTACGATCAGTTATTATCTAATCAATTTATACATGAAAGTGCGAACATGTGACCGACCGGCTTTAATTACTGCCATAATTGCTGCCATAAGGTCTATAACACGTCAATCGAGATTATGATTATTACAGAGAAGTGAGAAATTATACATAGATACTTTTTTCTTGTAACACACATCGAAATAAATGATGAGAAAAAAATGAAAAGAATTTTTTAATTAAATAAAAAGATTATCCAAGTAAGCAAAATCTAATAATTTCTATATTCTTAAGGTTCTCGAAATTTTTTTTCTACATTCTGTATCGAAGAATTGTCATCAAGGCCATAATGATCCATATTGTAGCAAACAAATTGAAACGCAGCAATACTACAATAGTCATAATATGGCGAAGCACATTTGTTTGTTCAATTGTGTACGCGTTGACTAAGATCGATGCAAAGTCAATTCAATAAATTTGTGTCTATATAAAATGTAGAATATACTAAAAATAACTCAAAAACTGTTATTATCGAGCAAATATTTGAGAGTAATCGATTTTTCGATTGTGTTTGCCTAACGTGAATTTTTTATCTCAAGATAAGCCAGGATTTTTCATTAGATAGTACTTGAGATCCAGAAAAATTATAAAGCCTGCAAAAAATGAAAAAAATTGAAAAAAGAATAAACTCTTTTCTCTACAAAATAAAAATTTATATCAAAGAGAAAAATATAACGTAATCACACAAAGCTGCAAAAAATTTTTAAAGAATTTTTTATAGAAAGAAACTACACGTTAAAATTGATGTAATTAAAACAAAAAGTAAAGTATATTTTACGACAAAAGATTAATGATTGCTAAAGTTCTGCGTTAAAGAGAATAATGGTATATCTAACGATAAGTGCAATAACGAATAAAATAAATAAATGAATAGAATGTTCCTTCTGTCGCGTAACAAAACGATATGAGGCGGAGGAAATGACAGAACAATGAAAATTTGAAATATCGTAGTCGCGCGTAAACTGAATGTAGGCAGCAGATGACGCAGCGGCACACGCCCATCGGTCAGAATTAAATTAAAATCGTTGTTCTAGCCCGGTGGTGAATTAAACTTTTAACCCAAATATTAGAGGATCTCTGTTATTGGAATGACAATAAACAACATACGAAATAGCGGATAATTATCTATTCTTCTTTCTTAAAACTGTTTGAAAAAATTTGGTATCTCTATGTATATATATTTCATAGAAAGAAAAAAAGAAACCATTTTTACTTCACACATGCTAAATAATAAGATGTAATAATAAAACAAGCAATTAAAATAAATTTAATAATAAAAGAGATAAAACATTATTTAAAAACAGTCAAAAATTATGTTGATTTGAGAAAGAAGATTCTCAAATAATATTGTACTCTTATCTCGACTGAATTCTTTAAATAAAACAAGAATAAATACCTCGGAAGAAGTGTTAATGACCATATGCTAAAATAAAGACTTGCTACATACCGGAATAAAACGTCACGTTTCCAAGCAAATTATTCGTGTGTTTGTGGAGATCATTAGACCATTACTTTGGAATAAGACCGTTATAGACTTGTTAATCGTAATCAGGTGTCTGAAGCCGAGACGAAAGATTCTTGTTGTTGGAATACAATCGGTGGGTGACATCGCGCGTTACGTTAAAATTGGATCGATCACATCGAAAATTACGCAAATTCAAAAGTTAAGACATTTTTTTCTAATATATATATATAACTATTACATTTTTAAAATAGTACTATAAAATTATTATATAAGATATTTACAATGTATCTTATATTTCTGCGAATTTTCACAATTAATTCAACAACAAATCAAATAAATTAAAAAATCAATAAATTAAGAAATCACACACAGAAAAATACGTCTAAAACTCTTGCATTTTCAATTTGAGTTTGTTCTCGTGAATACCGGGTGGTTTGATGATTCTTTCTATACATCAACCAACAAAGAAAGCAGGATAAGAATCGTCAAAAGGGAACAGGACCATTGTAATGGAAGCTTGCATCAGTCCGTTCGCTATCAGATTATTTTTAGCCAGCGGGATAGGGTCTACCCCCTTCACGGTAGCTAAAAATAGCTGGTAAGGCCAATCCAGACCCAATTATCTCATCTAGATATTTAGGTGACAATCGACCGACCGCCAATTTAGAAATATTCCATACGCTCGAAGCCAGAGCCTTTAGCTCGATACGAATAATCTCTCACCTCGCATGGATTAAAAAAATAAGGCCTCCTTAAAACCAATTCAATACTAACTCTATTGACTGAACAAGGATGATCTGAAAAATCAATGTACATGACTCTTCAAATATCGATATATATATCACAAATGCAACAATATCTCCGTAATAAAAATTTTGTTAAATTATAATTAACTAAGAATAAAATAAGATGAATAATATTGAAGAATATACTCGCACTCTCGAGATATATATAATATATGTAAAATTTTCAATTATCAATTTATAACTTTTCAATTGAGGTATCGATAAACAGTAGAGAAGGTTGCAAGCTATCAATAAGACTACAAATTCTCTAAACAAATTTTCTAAACAATATATATTTATTTTATTTCTGCTATATTATTATTATATTAGGATACACTTACAACCCTCCTTACATTGAATTCTTTATACTTAGGCCCTGCGCACAATAAAGAAAATATTAAGAATAGGAATAAAATATTAAATATCAGGAGGAGTAATTTGGAATTATTTTACTTCAAACAAGGGAACGGAATGGATTAACGCATAATGAAATAAAAAAATAAAAATTAGAAATAATTAATCCATTCCGTTTTCTTGTTTGAAGTAAAATAATTCCAAATTGCTCCTCCTAATATTTTATTCCTATTCCTGATATTTTCTCTATTGTGCGCAGAGCCTTATTGTTAGACGAATAGTCTCTCCCTTCGGTATGCAACCCGTCTAACGAATGTGTACGTCCGTTTGCAGGGCCGTACGCAGCATGGGGCAGCACAAATCGGGCACCCTGGGTGCCGTGGCGCCTATATCGACAGAGGAGGAGCAGCTGAAGTTTCAAGACAGCAGATTTCTGACGACTTTGGTCGGCAGAAGTAGGTGAGTGACCGAGTGTGACTGACTAGCGTACGCTACGTCAAAAATCGAGGCACGTGATCGGGTCTCACACAATCCACTTATCGTTAGAAAGATTAAATCGTAGACAAAGTGTCGTAAATCTAAGTACAGATCTTTATCTCGGTTGTGAGGATATAAGGTATAGAGGAGATAATTAAGTAATTAACTGTTACAAGTACCTGTTTTGTGACTTTGTTTTACTCTCGAGCGGCCTAAAGTTATATTTGGCATTATTTCATTGAAGTGAGTAAACGCTTATTGCGTTGTTTAAACACTGCGTAGATATGTGCTTGTTATAAAAAATAAATCTCAGATTATAAATTAAGAGATATTCTTATCGTTGGATGATTCAATTTCGACATTAATTGCAAATTGTTGTATCGTCAGATCGCACGAGACTTAAGTTGACCTTTCGTATAATCTCTTGCGTGAAGAAAAATGTATTATTTAAAATTAACTATAAATTATTATTACTATTACGATTAATACTTACTATCAGGATATTCATCTCTTTAAACATGGTCGCGGATCCAGCAGATTCACGATTTCGAAAACGGTTTCAAAGGCTCGAATTGTCGCACATGGGGTATAATCGTCGAATCGGAATACACGGCGTGTGGTCGGTTTTATATATATCTCGGAGGGAAAGCACCTGTGCCTCTTCTCTCTTGAGCGATAAAAGGTCATCGCGAAATCTCCCCTGCAAATAAAAATTGGCGATAATATCCGTGGCGAATACGGTTTAATTGAATTTTCTCTAATCGCGCGTGATATGCATGACAATCCTAAATATCAGATTGCGTTAAGCGAATTCGTCGTATTGATACGAACAATTTATCTCACGAACTGCCACAACTAGAGATAATAACTATAGATACACAAAGATATTAACACGTTTCAAAAAAAATAGCCACAACCGGGAGTCATAAAATCTGTGCTTTTGAGAATCGATACTAGAGATTATCCCCTTTATGCCATCTATTTCTAAAGAATATTATGACAATATATAAAAATTCTGATTTTAAAATTTATCACAAATATATCGTTGTTGTATAAATATAAATAATCTTCCACGAATACGCCAGAAATTAATATTTTTAATAAAGAAAGAGTCTGCAATTTAAAGTGTAACATTTCATCGTGAATATATTAATGATCAGTGGAAATCGCTTTATTTTTCCAGTGATTTTCCTCTGATTGACATTCACACTGTTTAATAATTAGGAATATAATCTCGCGGGACGATCGTAGCGATAAAGTGTGATGGATGATTCTACGATTAATTTGTTGTGCATGCGAGTTGATCATAGCTCATGATAGCTCTGTTTCTCTGAGAAACGTCAATCGTTTTAATGAATCAAGATGCGGGTTAGTTATCGATGCGGACGCGTTCGTTTTGATGGGGTTACGTCTCAATAGACCCCGTAAGCACGTCTACATAATTCTGGTCTTGATTTATTTACTCGAGCGATTTTATTATTCTTTCCTTTCTTCTTATTATTGAAAATAATTGAAAAAGACTTTTCTTCTCATATAGGTATGCAAAATATGTTAAATTTGAGCAATTCTCTTCCACGCGAATACTTTAATATTGCGGGTGACATTTGCCCGCGATCTTAAGGTTACCGTATTCACAGCTGATCGTATGCCAAGTCAATGCATATATTTGTCTTTCAGGAGAATCTCGCCGGACATATTGCCGTCGTGCTCGCCCGGCGTGTTTCGCCAAAAATCGTTCCGCTCATCCACGCCGCCACCGAAGAAGGTGCCAATACCTTCACCGGCATTTTCGACAGCAGCGATAACGACAGCAACGACAAGACCCATCTCGCAAAATAGCCGGGACTCATCTGCGGCCGCGGCGAACGATCGCTGCGCTCCTCGCGCGGCCACCCCTACTGTCACTACCGTCCCCACCCCCGTGTCAGCTGTTCCACCACGTGACAGCGTTTCGCGGACCGTCGTCGGCGCTTCTCTGACGTCGTTGACGTCGTCGCGGGGCGCCCGAGCAGCCAGCAAGCAGACGCGCCTCGGTCCGGTACTGGCCAGTAAAATGGCGTCCGCGAGCACCTCCACGGTCGTGCAGGGCTGGCCGAATACCAAGGACGATTACGAGCTCAAGGAGGTTATCGGTAAGTATTCCCTCCATGGGGTATTATTACGATCGCGTGACGACCGGGTGCGAAAATCGCGCGCGCCCTCCAAGAAGGCGCTCTCGCGAGCCGGCATCGCGACGTCGATTCTCGAACGGCTGGCAGTCGTCTAATTTCCCGACTAAGGAGCACCGCGAATGACGATGATAACGACAACGATTATGAAAATAATGTAAACGATGTAGAATTTATGTCGAGTTTACGTACCGAATCGATGAACGGTTGCTCCGAAAACGGGACGACGGTTCGCCGATCCCCGCGCTCGTTCCTTCTCCCACCTTCTTAATGCGTCCTTCTTGCACTCGCGCTGTCACGCAGCTACCGGTGCTGCTGCACGAGAGAAGCTTAGCGCGTAGCGTATGTCCTCTCCTAACCTAGTTAATCCTGACGGGACGATGCGCGCTTTTCAGTGACGTATGCGCACACTGAGATGAGAGGGGAAAAGGGGCCGAGTTCTGTCAAATGGGATTATCTGTAAAATGCATAATTAATGTGGAATCAAATTTGACATGAATAGAGAGCACATGTGTGATGAATAAAGAATACCGATATTCTTTTAAAATTAAAATAAGCATTTTTTTTTATCGTTCTAAAATATTCGCGCAATACGTTTTTAATAACTAAATTTTTGAAATATAATTTTTACGCTGATAGCACAGGATACAAAATGTGACAATTCGTTTTGTTATTAATTTTAGGGGTTGGAGCGACCGCCGTGGTGCATGCAGCATTTTGTATTCCGCGACAAGAGAAATGCGCAATCAAAAGAATAAATTTAGAAAAATGGAATACAAACATGGACGAACTATTGGTGAGTACTATATCTTGATTGAATTTCAATAACAGATGACAGGTCAATGACACACTTCTCGATAAGACTCTCATAATATATTGTATGATTCATTGGATTAATGATCTTATCAATTACAATGTATGCTATGCATCCCCATATGTTGCAATGCATGATACAAATAAATAATGTTTGATATTAAATATCATAATATAACTATTTCTATTTTAACGAATTTATATTATTAAATTAATTAATTTTATGAATTAAGATAAAAATTTATTATTAATTGATACTCTTTATTTGGAAAAAAAATTGTAGAAAGAGATACAGGCGATGTCTTCTTGCAACCACGAAAACGTCGTAACTTATTACACATCATTCGTGGTAAAAGAAGAACTCTGGCTGGTTCTGAGATTATTAGAAGGTGGATCCTTGCTGGATATCATCAAGCATAAGACTAGGACTACCAATTGCAAGCATGGAGTATTTGACGAAGCTACCATAGCCACGGTACTTCGAGAAGTACTCAAAGGGCTTGAATATTTCCACAGCAATGGACAGATTCACAGGTATTTTGAAATATCTGTCTTTCTTCTTTTTTTTCTTTAGAATCGTTGGTCTATCTTTATTTAAATAAAATCTTAGAACGCCTTTCCTTGATTTATATTCTCTCATTTATTTACTAGAAATTGTATTAACTGTAACAAAAAAAATTATATTAAAAAAAGAAAAAGTGTGACACTATTATAATCTATGTATAAAAACGAATTTTAATGTCAGAATAATATTAGGGACATAAAAGCGGGTAATATCCTACTAGGCGAGGATGGCACGGTGCAGATCGCCGATTTCGGTGTCAGCGCATGGCTCGCAACCGGACGCGACCTGAGTCGGCAGAAAGTCCGGCACACCTTCGTCGGTACACCGTGTTGGATGGCGCCCGAGGTCATGGAGCAGGTGAGAGAGGAAAGTAACACTACAGACTTCTTAGCCTGCGTGTTCTCTGTGTCTACATTTGTGTATGCGTTTGTTAAATGTACCTGAAACACTTTATCGAGATACTTTATCGGAAATGTGTACGCTGTCGACCGAGCAATTTAAAATATAGCTTTTGCTATCATTAAAACGACACACGAAATTTGTATGGCACAACCCGAGAAAATGCACTTTGTTAAGCCAATAATTAATTTGAATTATCAGTTATGTAATTTGTTGAGCATGATACAAGTTGCATTAGGCATGCTATGCAAGTCACATAGAAAACTGCATTGAAAAATGGATTCACTATGTGTGAATTCTCACGAAATTTTTTTTTCGCTAATAATTAATTATGTATGTATATTCACACCATTATGTTACTTTGTTCTATATTTTATGTCTCTTAAATTTATATCTTTCATTTCATTACAGTATCAATTCTCATATTTTTGTATCACTTTCTATATAAAAAAAAAAAAAGTTTTGCATGCATTTACATACTGTGAGTGTACGTTATTTGGTTAAATTTTTATTAAATTGTATATATAGATATAATTATCACACACATACACACAAATTATAGAAAAGCATTTTTAAACGCTTCAAGCGTTTGCAGTTTAAGAACTGTTGTGAAAAAAAAACTGATGTTAAACCAAAAATTTATGATAATATGACAGGCAATCCTATATATAAGATTGCAGCTATAAGTCACATTTAGAACGAAGATTCTGGCAAGCATGCGACTTTTGCGAGCATGATTTCACGAGATATTGGCAATCTTTTTGTTGTATACGCTGTACTGTCAAAAAATCAATTATGATATGCATACCTGTTGCAGGACCATGGCTACGATTTTAAGGCTGATATATGGTCACTTGGCATCACGGCGATCGAGATGGCCAGCGGCACGGCACCGTACCACAAATATCCCCCGATGAAGGTCTTGATGCTGACGTTGCAAAATGATCCGCCCACTCTGGATACCGCCGCGGATGACAAAGATCAGTATAAGGCGTATGGGAAAACATTCCGAAAAATGATCATCGATTGTTTACAAAAGGATCCTACCAAGAGGCAAGTGTCCTGTCCCGCAAACGAAAATAGCTAGAATAATTGAAATAAATGAGTAATGGGCGAGATATATTTGACTAATTTAAAGATAGTCTTTGATGTTATTATATAATTACGTTGATTACGGATATCTTTAAATGTAAAAAATAAAAATAAAAATGGATATTTTGTATATATAAAATCGTCGAAAATATTATAATTGTTAAGTAATGATTTTTATTATTTTAGACCGACAGCCACCGAGTTGTTGAAACATCCTTTTTTCAAAAAAGCTAAAGATAAGAAATATCTGCAACAAACGTTGGTGGCAATTGGACCTAGTTTAGAAACGCGTGTACAAAAGGTATGTTTGTGTAAAATATACCAGAAAAAAGATTTAGAGAACAGTGCTCTCTCCTTCCCTCCCTCTTCCCTCCCCCCCTCTCTCTCTCTCTCTCTTTCTCTCTCTTTATGTGTGAAATATTTTATCGAGATATTATATTTTTTTATTGAAATTTTATAAATTGAAATTAGAGAGAGAGAGAGAGAGAGAAAGACATATCTAACATTTTTCTCATTTTTTTTGCAACTCGAAGTGGGCTTTAGTAACTTTATTTATGGCTTCTTTTTGTTATAAAATATGGAAGGAAAACATTCTCTTTCTTTTTTTACAGGCATCAAAAAGACAACCCGGTACATCGGGTCGTTTGCACCGAACGGTGACCGGAGAATGGGTCTGGTCGTCAGAGGAAGAAGATAGTGGCGGATCGAGCGGTGACGAAGGCGCCAAAGAAACGTTGCCGGTCAACACGATTGAAAAGGCTAGCAGTGACGAAGACGCCGGCGAACCCGACGAATACTATGGTCAAATCAAGGTAGCACCGAGTCAAGTCGCGATACCAGCTACTGAGCAAAATGTTCCTATAAATTTGGTACTCAGATTACGGTACGTGAAATTCCTATTATAAGTCGCTCAAATTCTAACAAAAAACATTCTTCGTCACTGTATAATACACACTATATATAATAAATACTTACAGACATATATTTTCAAGTCATTCCAATTTCAGAGAAGATCTCCGAATATGCTTTTATTTACTCCATTTCTTATTTCTTGATTTTTATTTTCATCAAAGTTGTGAAAAATTATTATTGTATTATTTAAGTGATAAAAAATTAAAATAATATTACATGTATCTCCTTGTAGAAATGAAAGACGAGAGCTTAACGACATTAGGTTCGAATTCACCGTCGGAGTGGACTCGGCGCAAGGAATCGCAGCGGAACTCGTCGCTGCAGGTCTAGTCGATGGTAAGGATGTTGTGGTGATAGCAGCGAATCTGAAAAAATTGATAGAAAGTGGAGGACAATTACGGACAGTTACATTTTCCTTGGTAAGTCTTTAGCAGCTTTGATGTCACATTTTACTTTACCAAATACGCACACAAATATATATTTTAATATATATTTGATAAAATAAAATAATTATATATATAATATTTTATATAATTTGACTGGTCATCAAACATAATGTCTTTTCTTGTTGTTACAGAATTCGGGCTATGCGGTGAACGAAATACCAGATGACAAGGCGTTAATAGGATTTGCTCAGATCTCTCTCACTGATTGAACAATTTCGATTACCGTATAACTTCATTTCTGAACTCTCAGGATAATGTTCTTAATTGATGCACATTCACCATCTGTTAAGATCCAGAGAGTATCAAAAGCTAACGACGAATCAGCTAGATATTATTTTCGAGATAAATTATATCATAGATGGTAAAAAAGAAGTTTGGAACACATATACAGAAACACATGTAAGTTTGTTTCATCGTTGAATATTTGCAAGTTTAGCTTTTGACACTTTCGTTTCTTTCAGACAATTTTAACAATTAAAACGTTAGTTGCAGAATGTAGGTAATCGAAATAGATATTTGTTACAACACATCAGTAGTAACAAACTGTGCTCAAGCGTGTCTGATAACATCATCAGTGTTCATATGCGGAGGCAATCATAAACGGGGCAGATAAAAATATTATCATTCACATACTGGCTTAAAAGCATACACTTACTCTAATCAATAATGGCTGTAGTTTTACATAACCGAATTGTATCATTCGTATTGCATCAGTCTATGTAAATATTAGCATTCAATCATTTGTTGTTTTCAGTTTTCTTCTTTATGATTAATGTATCAAATGGGATAAAGAGATACATACTGTGAAATGCGATATTTCATATAAGCGAACTTAGAGGATCAAAGAGAACGCTTGATAATCTAATTTATTTGCCCGAAATATAAGCTGTTTCTCTTGAATAGTAAAGCTTTAGTTACATAAAGAAAAAATTTGTTTGTGCTGAGAACATAGAATCATGTCCATGTTTCATGTACAGATTATCCGTGTATATCTTATGCTTTATGCTAGGAAAAAGATATAGAGAATGTTGGAATAAAATAAAACTCTTTTGTACTTAATTAAATAGACTTACGATAGCAAATTAATATTTTCACAGTTTTTAGACGTAGCGAGATAGAGAGATCGAAAAATTTTTACCTCGTACGTCTCGAAAATGTTTAATCAATCTCTTTATAAAATTTATTAGAAAAAAATGGATAAAATCAGAATCACATACAACAACAGTTTAACGCAATCTATACTTTACGGTTTCACATATACAGTGTTCATCATTTCTACATTCTTGTATCTACTGGAAATTGTAAGGATATATATTTGCGATGTTTTTATCATTTCTTATATTTACAAATTGTAAAAGTTGAGTTTTATGACAAAAAGATAAATAATTATCAAAAATGTGTATAATTTTTTAATGTTTCCATTATTTTTTAAACTAACTTTTTTTGATATATATTCTATAAAAAAAGTGTATTTTATTTGAATTGTACTAAATATATATTAAGAATATTCATATAATTTTATATGAATATACTTAATATTAAATTAATTAATAATTAAATATACTTGATTAAAATCAAAGTATTAAAAAATGACTATAAATAGAAAGATTTTTCAAAAAACTCAAAATAAGTACAACTATAAATAACCAATGTGATTCTGTATTTATCAATTTTTATATAAAATGCAGTGGTTACATTATACGATAATATGGTAAAGGACGTTCGCATTTCGTAATTTTCAATATTTTGCATATAATATACATACTTATGTATGTGTATTCTATCTGTGAATTTCTGCTATTCTGTCACCGTTAACAAAATGTTTTTGACATCGAAAATTTGTGTGCGATTTCTCTTTTCCTTTGCCATATTGCGATACATATATACACATGCTAATTCCGCGACACAAGATTTGCTGAGCAAAATTAGTTGTAATAATCGAAATATACAAATCTGTTGATATACATGTGATGGTTATATATACTCCGAATTATATATATCAAATCAATTGTGTGGTTTAACTTATATAGGGGAGATACACTTTTTATGCTTGATACGCGAGAAATAAGCATAATTACTATTAAACTGCAAATGATAATAATCGTATGCTAGTTTAAGTAGATTTTTACAAATAGTTGTATCAGTACACATATGGCACTATATTCTGTAGCACTTAGAATTCTCATGCACTACGTTTCGCCGGCAGAGAATTTTAATCGGTTCGACATACATAGCTTGTATCGTCACTATGTGCCTTATCCGAAAAATGCATTGGTTATATTGAAATACTGTGTTTTTATCCTGAACGCTACTGTACTGCAATGAGACGATTCAAATTGCAATTGGAACTTCTTGCTTGCAACACGATTAAAGCAGTGCCAAATAAAATGTGTTATACTTAGCGATTAAATATGTGTATCAAGAAAACGATAATTTATTTGTATGAATATCAAAATGTCGTTCTGGCAATTAGAAACATTGTACTTTATTTCATTGCAAGTTATTATAACGATTATGTAAGTGTTATATGAACTGCAGCGCAACTAAAAATGGGTAATGGTACTTAACGCCGATAAAAATTTCCGAGAGAGTCAGCACAATGGAATTTATTTTATACTCCCTGAGCAAGCTTGTTTTTACTTTTACCATAAATTCAATTTTTAGCAATAAAATATTACTCGTTACAAAGAAGAGCAATTCTTCAAATGCTTAATATCTCGATGAAATTCTTGAAATCGTAGTTTTTTTTATTTTTTTCCGTCAATTTAAATGGATTTTGTATAGAAAAGCGTCATGTCTAATTATCAGAATTTTTGTAAATGCAATTATATAAAATTTCCTTGCGCCTTGCCTATATGAAAAAACGCTTGTCTCTTTAATTAAAAAAATAATAGATAAAAACAAAATGAATCCTCCCTAAGAATATGATTTTAGGATTTAATTGAGATACATTTTATATCGTGTGTATATGTGTATATTTTGGACGCTGTATTCTTTAATTTAAATATAATCGCCTTTAGATTACGCGCTTATCATACCATCATGCATCATATGTCAATATTCTAACCCAACCTAATCCTAACTCTACCTGAACGGCCTCAAAGATTGTGTCGATCAGCTGATTACAGTATACAGCTGATGAGCTGATCATTAGCACGGATGTGCACAGATTCTCCACGGATGAACCTATTCACATCCGTGACGAGAATTCAGACCTAGAAATTAACTTAGTGTACTTGAAAACAAACAGTTAAATACTTTTACAATTACATTTCTAAAGCGAAATGAATGTGTATTGACATTTCAAAAATGGAAAAAGAGACAAATTGCAGAAAATACAAATGAAATAAGCAGGCCTTATCTTTTACATCTCCCTACTTAATTTATGTTATAAATTAAGTAGACATGCTGCATCGCGCGAGCGCGTTCTAATCACGGCACTGCGAATTTACGAATAGAAATCTGTGAGTGCTTTACCGTTGGCACGGACTCATGACGCATTTACGACTAAATCCTGTGTCCAAGTTCCAATCAATGACTCGCAGAAAGTTTTTCGCTCGAACGAACGTAATGATATTTTTCGTGCCGGTCGTGCTTATATTAGTCTTCTTGTGCGCGCGTTATCCAGCTCGAGAATGCACGCCGGACGAACAGATGATTTTGGACAGTAAGCCCAAATACAGGCTCATTATTCTGATTCTCAGCAGTCCAGACAACCTTGAACGCCGGGACACCATCAGGAAGACCTGGTTGGCTGATCGTAGTCACGATGCCATGATGAGACATTTCTTCGTCATTGGCACCCAGGACATCCTGCCAGAGCAAAGAAACACTTTGCAGTCGGAGAAGGAGAAGTTCGACGATTTGTTATTGCTGCCTAGATTGCAAGATTCTTACGGCATATTGACAAAGAAAGTCCTCTATGCTTTTAAAGGGATCTATGAGCGTTATAACTTTGACTTCTTGTTGAAATGCGATGATGATTCTTATGTCTTGGTGCATAAGATCCTGAAGGAGCTGGACAGGTGGCAGAACAAAGGTACTAGAAGGGAGCTTTATTGGGGCTTCTTTAATGGACGAGCGCTGGTGAAGAGGAGTGGTCCTTGGAAGGAGACAGATTGGATTCTATGCGATTATTATCTTCCTTATGCCCTGGGTGGCGGATATGTCTTGTCCTACAATCTCGTCAAGTTTATCGCCAGTAACGCGGATATCCTAAAGTAAGTATGGTTGCAAATAAAATATATGCTTTATACATTTAATATTCATCTTGTTAAATATAATATAGAAAATTTATAAATCTGTGTATTTACTTTTTAGTTAGGTTTTCTGCAATTTATTCCTTTTCCTTCATTTTCTTTTCTGAAGAAATGCAGCGCAAGAAATGTTCTTCAATTTGAAGAGTTACATATGAATGTTTTAGGCTGCAAAATTCCGAAGACATCTCTGTTGGTCTCTGGCTGGCACCATTGGCGAATATTGAAAGGAAACACGACGTACGCTTCGATACAGAGTACAGATCGCGCGGCTGCTCTAATCAATATATAATCACGCACAAGCAAACTATTCAAAGTATGAGGAACATGCACGAGTATTACCAAACCTCTGGTGTGCTGTGTTCCAAAGAAATGAGGAATCGCATGAGTTATCAGTATAATTGGACTGCACCACCCAGTCAGTGCTGCAACAGACAATCCGGTATCCCTTAATGCAAAGGAAAGAAAATTTCTGCAATATTCTAGTCTGGTTTTTTGAGACATTTGCTCAAAAAATATACTCTGATATTTATTTTACATATTTATAATGATATGCCATATAATTTTCCTAAGGACGTATTCTGAACAGTATTACCGAGTGTGGAGAGACAGTTGCAGATTGCAATCGCGATTTTATGTTTTGAAAGATTAAAATGAGAATTCTGAACTTGAATTTTACTTGAGCATTATTGTACGATAGCATGTTATAATTAATAAAAAACGCTTGTAAATAAATTTTGTAAATATTCAGCAATGAATAAATATAAACGAGATATATAAGCTTCGGTGAATCAAATATATTTTTTTTAATCATATATAATGTACTTTGTAATACATTTTTCGTCTTCAACAGAAGCTTACTCCATGTGTATATATATATATATATA